GCCAACCCCTGGGCCATCAGCGCGGTTCTGGGGCAAGACTACGACGGTACCATACTACCCGTGCGGTTCGTGGGACGGGTTCTCCAAGATGCTGAACTCAGGTACCACCCCGCCGAGAAAGAAGTACTAGCGCTGCTCCGAGTCCTGAACACATGCCACACTATGATTACGAGTTGCTCCGAGAAGAAGATTCGCGTGTATACCCGGTACTTGGTGCTGGCGTGGTTGTTCAAGTCCAAGACGGTAGACGGGAGATGCCTCAAGTGGGCGGTCAATCTGTCTCCCTGGGACCTGGATCGGCGAGTCGAGAACGATGAAGATGGCCTGGCGGCGATCCTGGGAGCGGGTATCACTCCCCGGGAACGCCCGACGAGGTCGCCAAAACCTAGCTCCTGAAAAGGGCTCCCGGATCAAAACACCCCCAGTTAGCCTAGAAATGCTCTCTAGTGACCACAACGGGCACCTGCTGAGTTTCGACGGAGCTCCAAGCGAGATGGGTCCGGGGGCGCCGCATGCATCCTCTGGAGCCTCCCGAGTTGGGAGATTGTGGCGGCCACGGGACACTTCCTGGAGAAGGCTACCGCGAACGAAGCCGAATATGCCGGATTGGTCAAAGGCACGCAACTTGCTCTAAACGCGGGGATCCAGGAACTGGTAGTAGTTGGAGACTCCCGATTAGCAATACAGCAGCTCCAGGGGGTTATCGGTTGTACCCAACCCCACCTGTTGAGGCTGCTCCAGGAAGCCGAAGGACTCCAAGCTAAGTTCAAATCCTTGCGCCTGGTACATGTGAAGAGAAACTTCAACGCCGCCGCCGACTATATTTCCAAACGGATCATCCAAAAGCAGTCATCTTTAGAAGTCACGGACCTCGGGGAACGGAAGTTGCTTCAAGGCCTGAACCGGATCCACGAAAAACTGATGAAGGACCCGAGTCCCAGGGAACAGTCGCTGATGGAGTGCGCTTTCATTGCCACAGCCCGGGGCATACCTAGGTGTTCCCCGGTGGGTGAAACATTCGTGACGACGCGCTCAGCGTCCGAGCAAAGCAGTGCCGCTGAAGAATCGACTCCAGAATCCGGAGCTGACCACCTAGAATCTGTCGACCCCGGGAGCGACGACCTGGGAACCGAAGGCGTGGAAGACGGGCTGACAGTCGTCCCCGAAATCCCGACTCCCAGGACTCCGAAGTAGACCCTGAGGGCGCTCGTAGGGAACGATGGAGGAGGATCTGCTCCCACCAGGCGCACGACCCAGAGCTAGCACCCCTGGTGAATTTCCTCCGAGGCGAGACAGAACAGTTGACTCTGAGGCAGACAACGCACCTGGCCAAGATAGCGGACTAGTTTGTGCTGGACTCCCGGGACGCGTTGTTCTATTTGAGTCGAAACACTCCAGAACGGCCCCGGGACGCTGCCGATCGTCTCCGTCTGGTGGTCCCCCAGGACTTCCAAGAGGATATTCTGCACCATTGTCACGCAGACCTCCAAGGCGCTCACCAGGGCTTCATCCGGACTTATGAGAGACTGTGCAAAGAATTCTACTGGATTGGGATGTTCAAGGACACGGAATGATACATCAAAGAGTGCGTGGATTGCGTCACGACTAAGGGGTTACCCCGGAACCCAGGCTCATCACCCGGCAACTTGCTGGCTACGCGACCGTTCCATATCGTCTCGATGGACTTCGTCATACCGTTGCCTCAGTTAGTCCGGGGGAACACAGCACTACTCTTGTTCCAGTGCACGTTCTCGGGGTTCATCATGTGCAAAGCCATGGCAAGCACTGAAGCCCAAGATGTAGCCGAAGCCTACGAAGAATGCGTGTTCCGGAGGTTCGGAGCCAGCGAAATGATCCGCCACGACCGAGACCCACGATTCATGAGTCGGGTGTTCAAGCACTTCCGGGAGATGCTCAGGAGCAGACAGCGCGCGACCCTGGCTTACCGCCCCCAGGCTAACGGACAGCAGGAGAGGTCAGTGCAGACAGTGATCCGAAGTGTCAAGGCGTACGTCCAGACG